TTAAAGAGTACATTAAGACTTATAATATCTGTTAAAGAATAAAGATTCTGCAGTATAAGTAATACAGTGAGTTAGTATCACTGAGTGTTTCAAAAAGCTCATGACAGAATCTATTAATAAATTTCATAGTTAATCTGCTGAAGTTGACAAGAGTCAAAGAATATAACTCAATTTTGATTATTATCAACTGTTTCACAAAGATAATAAAATATATCTCTACTTATAAAAAGATTAAAGCCTCTGAATTGACTGATCTATTTTTAAATATCATTATTCATAATCACAGTGCTCTGAAATTATTGATAATAGACTGAGAATCTCTCTTTATCAGTAAATACTAATCAGCTTTTTACTATCATCTTATAATAAGATGTCTTCTCAGTATCACATTTCATCTGCAGACAGATAATCAGACAGAATACTAGAATCAGATATTAGAATAGTATCTTTGAGTATTCTATTTATATTATTAAAATGATTAACTCAAACATCTTTTAATTACTGAATTCATATATAATAATATAAAGAATGTAATCTTAAAAGTATTTTCTTTCTATACTTATTATAAATATAATTCTTTGTTACTCAGTGATATCACAGATAATATTTTAAAGAGAGAAATAAACAGTCAGAATATTGAATAGATACAGAGAATAGAGTACTTCTCAGTATTAGAAGTAAAAGTAAGATTGAAACTTTTAAATAAAATTTATAAGAAGACAGTGAATAGTATTCACTGTACTTATTATTATTATTATTATTCTTCAATTATAGATGTATGCAGTCAGAGACTATGACATCTATCTGAGAACTTTTAGTTCTCAGGGTTTTTTCTATGTCTGTAGAGTTAACTATTATACATTCATCAATTTCAGATATGCAAAATCAGAAAATTTCAGCTCAGAATACAAAAACTGTTTACAAATTGCAGTGTTTTAACATCTTTTGATACTTTGAAATCATTTGACAATATCATGACAAAGGAAAAGAGAAAAAGAACACAGTCTCAAAGATAGACACATTAAATAGATAGATAGAAAGAAATTGAAAGAAAAAGATAAAGAAAAAGATAAAGTAAAGAGAGACTATAACAAAACAAATTATTAAAAAAGAGTGTATAGCTGTTTTAACAGACTATATCTGATTGATTTTCTTCTCTTCATATTCAGATAATTCTGAATTTAGTCATTTTCTTGTAGCTGCTTGAGTTTCTGATAGAAAGTCTATTAAGTATTTAATTCCTGTCTCAGTTGAGAATAAGAATCTTATATTTAATTAATTTAGATTATACTTCTCTTTCAATCTGACTCTGAGACTATTGTATAATACACAGTGCATTACAATATACTCAGAATTCTCATTTATATAGCAGAATGAGCATTCTATTGAGTCAAATCTATCATCAAATCTTTATATATAAGATTTGAAATAGCCATGTCTGAGTTTCAGCTGTATTATAGATGAGAATATTTTCTTTTTACATTTAATTGAACAAGATTTTCACTTGGGTTTTGTTTTAATCTTGAATAATGTATACTCTTCTTTTATTTCTGTCAGCTTTCATTTCACTTATCTAAACAAGATTCTTTTATTTTTCTCTTTATAAAAGATCAGAACATAATTTTTTGAATAGATCTGCTGAATTCTGCACTCTATTTTACAGCTGAATCAGCCAATTCATTGTCATGAATATTCATATAAGCAGAAACTCAGTACAGATAAATTATCAGTTTTGATATTCTTCTCTTTTGAATTTTCAAAACAGAGTTTAAGATCAGTTCAAGATTCATTTGATTATTATGAATCTGACTATTTCTAAGTCTTTTTAAAGCAGCTTGACTATCAGAGAATATTCATATCTCTTTCAAATAATTTCCTCTTTTATAAGATTTTATTTCAATGAGTTTGAAAGCTTTCACTATTGTAAATAGTTCAGCATCAAAGACTTCACATTCAGAGTCTAGATTTCAGAAATCTGAGATAAAATTAATATTATCTTCAGTATAAGCAATGTCTGTGTCTAATCTATTTAAGTTCTCATTTTTTAAGTCATCTGAATAAATCAGAATAGAGTCTTTTATATTGATTATAGAAATTCTCTTCAAATGCTGTTCATATTCTTTCTCTTTTGATAGTTTACTTATTTGTAAGTCTATAAGAGATTCAAGCTTTTCTCTTCAGAGAGATAACTTCTCATGATCAACTTTTTCAATATTTAAAGAAGAAAATTAATTTTTAATCAGAGAGTATAGTCTGTACAGTTAAGAAGACATTTTCTTTGAAGAATTATTTTCATTTCAATCAAGAAATCTATTTCAATTCAGTTCATTTTCAAAGTTAATTGATGAAAATGAAGAAGAGACTCTTTCTCTGATTATATGATTTGAGCTCATCTTTACAACTCTCAGAGTATAGTTCATACAGGTCTTTTCAAATCTAATAGCAGAAGAAGAAATTGAAGCTTCAATTTTCATTACTTTAATAGAAGATGATTTGAATACTTTCAGAATTCTTCTCAAGACTGTGTTTTGCAGACTTTGAAAGAGTTCAGTGAAATTCTCTTGATTATTTCATTAAACTTGAACTTCATAATTAGCTACTGATGTAATACAGGCTATATATAACTGTCTCATAGCCTGGAAGAATAGACCTCTCTCTGTATTTAATAGTCTGATTATATTATTTAATAGTCTTTCTGTCTTGACAGTTCTTTGTTGAATGTGATATTTAAAATTCAACTTAGAGTTTAATCATACTTCTAATCATTTGATATTTACACTGGGTTTAATCTCTTCATTTAAAAGAGTTAGAGATAGTTCTTTCTCATTGAATCTAGAAAAGAAATGAATTAACTCAGTTTTATTCATATCAAATTAAATTTGATTGATATCTGCTCTAACAAAGATTTTCTTTACAGCTTCTTCAATTACTTTCAAATTCTCTTTGATAGTTTTAGAGCTGTAGACTAGATCAATATTATTCATATAACTTAAAGATTGCACTATTCTTATATTTCTATTCTTGAATAGATATGCAGTGTATATTATAAATAAAATGAGTGAGATTGAAGATTTCTGTGATACTTCTATTTTTATCTCAGTTTTATCTTATTTCATTTTATCAAAGAAGAGTTGTATAATTCTTCTAGATATAAAACAGTTAACTCATTTTATTAGAGAAAGTGACAGTTTTAATATCTTCAATGTCTGAATTAACTTTAACTTTGAAACATGATTAAATGTCTCTTTTATATCAATAAAAACTGCAGTTGAGATCAGATTCTCATGCTTTGCTATTTAAATATCATGAATAACTGAGAGAACAGTGTCAATTGCAGAACACTGTTTTCTATCTCTTATTTATTCACTGAATAAAAGAAAATCATCTATAGAGCTTATAAAAAATAGTTGAGTAGCTATTATCTTTTCTAAAATCTTTTCTAGACAGTTCAATAGAGATATTACTCTATATAACTTAGAAATTGAAGTTTTTCTATTAGATTTTATAAGAATCACTTCAGTGGCTTCTCTTCAGCATTCAGAATGATATTCATTTTTCAAGAGATTGAAAAAGAGCTCAAAATATTCATTCTTTAAGTAGAAATATGTATTTTGAATAATTAAGTGATTAATTGAGTCAGGATCTGCAGCAGTTTTAACAGAACTTGAGAAGATAACTGACTCTAATTCATCTTGTGTAAGATCAGGCCATTCCCAGTCATTTTCATCAATGTAGTTGAGAAGTGATATATTCTCTTTCTCTGAATCTGAATCTGAATCAGGTGAGTTCTGAAAGAGAATTCTTATAAAAGCTTGACATTTTTTCTCAAAAGAGTTTGCTGTATATGATTCATTCTGAAACTTATATTCTAAGACTGGAAGTTTTGCTACACTTCTTGTTTTAGTATAGTTAAAAGCTTTAAAAACTTCCTTCTCTTATACTTCTTTAAGAAATTTATTTCAGTAGTCTGTTTTAGCTCTTTTAATATCTGAAAAATATTCATTTCTGACAGTTTTAAACTCTTTATCAGATATTACATCATTCTTTTAATCTCTTCTAACAGTAGCTAATTCTTTTCTTTTAAATGAGATATTCTTATTTCATCAAGATTTTGAATACTCAGAAGATTTTCTTTTTGAAATATTATCTCTAACACTTGTTAGAATAATAGATGTAATGTGATTCGGAAGAACATACGACCGTCGGATAATAACGCGGCTGCTTCCGAACTACTAGCGTACACGTGTAAAGAGACCATAGCATACACTAATTAATTTAGCATATGAGATTACAATATAAGAAGCTGGTGTACACCTGTAATCATACACTGGCTTAAGCAACCTTTGAATTACATCTGATAGCATGTCTAAAAACCGGTGAGAAGTGCAGGCTCCTTCAGGGTGTGATAATTCTGTCTACAAAGCAATTTGTAGTTATCATGCCAGTGTGGTCCTAGAAAACATCTCAAAAGATAGTGTATGAAGAGCAGTGAGCAGAAGAGCATCTGATTGATACTGCTTCACTTATTGAGGAAAAACTCCACACCCAGGCGCATGCCATGTATGAGATGCGAATGGATGAGATGTGAGAAAGGGGATGAGAGTGGTGAACCAGATTCAAAGGAGTCCGCTCCCTACCCAAAAGAAGGATAAAAGGGGGGAGTGACCACCACCGGAGTCGTACAATGATAACAGAAATCATACAGCAATATAGCAATATAATGATAGATATTGTACAATCAACCAGAAACCACCGAAATGAATACCTCTCCTAGCTGATACAAATAACACCCTTCTCTGCTACCTGAACTGAAAGATATACAGAACCTCTCAGAGGGTTTACTCAAAGCAGTAAGAAAAGTGACTGAAACTGCTGAATCAGAATTGAAGCTCTGTACATGTACAAGAATTCTAAATGAGATTGAGGCCTTGTGTATGCAGTGACAGGCTGAGATGAAGACTAAACAACAATTGATATTCACTGTGAATCAAGCATTCACTATGAAGAGCTTTGTCAACATAATCATCATCATTAATAAGAATAGAGAAAACCAGATCTTAGATCTGCAGCAGAAGATTGAATATTTACACAGACAGATGACTACACTGAACCTGAAGATCTCATTACAATTGTTCACAACCTCTTCAGAAGTGTACACATCATCAGAGATCACTACACAGAATGAGAATCTGAGCATGAAATATATCAAGTCAGAAGATCTGCTGAAGTCACTAAGCTTCAATGATAACTGAAAAAATGATGCTGTAATCAGCTGACTAAGTCAGATATAATCATATTATCAGATTAAACATGAACTCACAGACAGACAGTCAATAAAATTTTAATAAGTCTTAAGATCTGCTGCATTTCTACACAGAAAAGTGAAGTCATTATAAATGACTGATAAAAAGATGAATCTCACAGATCTGAAGTGATATTCATTCTTATGAATATGAAATGAGTTTTTCAAGTGAATCTTGCATAACTTTGAGAAAGTGAACATATGAGACAAGTATTATAAACACTTCACTGAGTGTAGATAAGTAAGTAATCTTACATCATACTTCACACACTTTAGCTTATACTATCTTGTGTTGAATGAAGAGCTTTCAACATCTTTCTATTTACAGATCTTCATTCATGATCTTACACTCAAGTTGAGAGTGAAATGAAAATGCTTAATCTCACAGTCAGACACAGTGAAGAAAGCATACAACATTCTCATTGTACAGGAACAAGTGAGTCAATTATGATAGAAAATACTGCAATTGAGTATGCCTCAGCAGAGAATGAATAATCAGACTTCTATGATACAAGTCATACATCTGAATGCAATGAATCTAGATCTGAATATTATTACTAAAGTGCTGAATCCTCTGAAAAAGAGATTCTCTGAGTGAAAACCTTGATATCACAAGCATCAAGCTTGTTTCAACTGCAGATATTAAAATCATGATGTAAAAGATTGCACTCAGTGTACACAGTTAAAAAACTAGCAGAATCAGTGAGCTCAGAGACACTTGCTGATATTCTATGAAAAGTCTTCAAAGTGAAAGAGATGTCTGTGTTAGATGATTCTCTGAATTCTGCAAATGTAAAGAAGAAGCAGGCTTCTGACTGAGATGCAGATGAGAATGAAGTGAATACTTATCTCAATGTCTTGAGACCTGAAATGTTAATGTATAAGAGACACTTGAATAAGAATTGAGAGATAGCTGTAAAAGTGTTAGCAGACACAGAAGCTTTGATACAATATATTGATAATTATATAATCTGAAGATTGAAAGAGGTCTGCTGAGTGAAGAATCCTCAATGTATAAGATTATCTGATAACTGATATTTGATATTACCTGTAAAAGTAAGAGTTTCCTTGTACTTTGAAGAATGATCTTGCTATATTTGAGTGTGAGAGCTGCAGAATGTGGAATACAATCTTATTCTTAGACTTGATTGGTTTCAAAGATTCAATCTGCAGATTCAATGATGTACATGCTATATGCAGTTGACTGATAGAAAGAAAATGGTTCATACAATTCTATTAACTGATATGAGAAGGACATTTCACATCTCTGATATAGAAGAATTAAATCTGCTTACACATCAACAAGCAAAGAGAATAATTCACAAGACCTTATCTGAAAGCATTCTGTATGTCATACAGGACCTGAAAGAGGAGAAAACCAAGATAAAAGATATGTGAGAGGATAAGTGTATGAAGAAGCTTCTGAAGAAGTATGAAAAGGTCTTCTGAACAGATCTTTCACTGAAATTATCACTGAAATGAGGATTTGTACATGAGATTGACACAGGGGATGCAAAATCAGTTAATCAGAATGCATACTCTCTGTCACAAATGCATCTTGAAGAACAGAAGTGTCAGATCACAGACCTTCTAGAACATAGTCTCATATAACCCTCATCAAGCGCGTGGGGCTTTCCAGTTCTATTTATGAAAAAGGCAGGTGAAGAGTGACAGATGTGTATTGATTATCAAGCACTTAATAAGCTAACAATCAAGAATGAATATTCACTGTCACAGATTCAACAACAGTTGAATACAGTTGAAAACATCTAATATCTATCAAAGATCAATCTTCTCTCAGAATACTGGCAGATTCATATAGATGAACTGTCAGTCCTGTGAACTGCATTTAATACACAATGAGAGAAGTTTGAATTTCTAGCAATGTCATTTGATCTGATAAATGCATCTGTCATCTTTCAAATGATGATGAATACAATTCTTTATAAACAGAATGAAATCTCATGTCTTATATATCTTGATAACATTCTAGTCTTTTCAAACTTATACAATGAATATCTGAAGTATCTTGATGAAGTGCTTATAACTCTGACAGAGTATAAGCTTTATACTAAATCAATCAAGTGTGTGTTTGAAACAGAAGAGTTGAAGTTCATGAAATATATAGTGAGTGATGACTGTATACACCTCATTCTGAAGAAATTGAATGTCATAGTGAATTGACCGCGGCTGAGAAATATACATCATGTATGACAGTTTCTTGAATTGATCTCATATTACTGCAGATTCATCAAGAACTTCACATGAATATCTGCATCACTCTCAGATCTCTTAAGAGAAATGAATGCAAATCTGTGAAAGAAGAAGTTTTGTTCAATTATCTGAAATGCTGTATGTGAAGAGGCTTTTCTTACACTGAGAGAATGTGTAATAACATTCTCAGTGCTTATTCAATCAGATTGTAATAAATCTTTCTACATTGAGACAGATGCATCTGAATGAGCTATCAGAGGCGCCCTTCTACAGATGAGTAAGGATGACAAGCTGCACTCAGTGATGTATGATGGTAGGAAACTATCAGACACTGAGCTTAATTACTCAGTGTATGAAAAGAAATTGCTAGTGATCAAGCATGTGCTGGTGTTGTGAGATAGATATATTAACAACAGATATATAACAACAGTGATCATGAATCACAAAAGCCTTGTCTATCTACAATTAATGACAAAATCTTTCAAATGCTTAGCATGTTGAATCTCAGAGTTTTAAGCATATAATCTTCATATCAAATAACTGTTTAGGAAAGGTTTTAGAAAAGATAATAGCTACTCGACTATCTTTTATAAGCTCTATAGATGATTCTCTTTTATTCAGTGAACAAATGGGAGGTAGAAAACAGTGTTCTGCAATTGACACTGTTCTCTCAGTTGTTCATGATATTCAAATAGCAAAGCATGAGGGTCTGGTCTCAACTGCAGTTTTTATTGATATAAAGGGAGCATTTGATCATGTTTCAAAGTCAAAGTTAATTCAGACATTGAAGATATTAAAACTGCCACTTTCTCTAATAAAATGGGTTAACTGTTTTATGTCTAAAAGAATTATATAACTCTTCTTTGATGGAATGAAACAAGACAAGACTGAGATAAAAATAGGAGTACCACAGGGATCTCCAATCTCACTCATTTTATTTGCAATATACACTGCATATCTATTCAAAAATAGAAATATGAGAATAGTGCGATCTCCGAGTTATGTGGATGATATTGGTCTAGTCTACAGCTCAAAAACTATCAAAGAGAATTTGAAAGTAATTGAAGAAGCTGCAAAGGAAATCTTTGTTAGAGCAGATATCAATCAAATTCAATTTGATATGGATAAAACTGAGTTAATTCATTTCTTTCCTAGACTCAATGAGAAAGAACTATCTCTAACTCTTTTAAATAGAGAGATTAAACCCAGTGTAAATGTCAAATGGTTAGGAGTATGGTTAAACTCCAAGTTGAATTTTAAATATCACATTCAACAAAGAACTGTCAAGGCAGAAAGACTATTGAACAACATAATCAGACTATCAAATACAGAGAGAGGTCTATCCTTTCAGGCTATGAGACAGTTATATATAGCCTGTATCACATCAGTAGCTGATTATGGAGTTCAAGTTTGGTGGAATAATCAAGGGAATTTCACTGAACTCTTTCAAAGTCTGCAAAACAGAGCCTTGAGAAGAATTCTGGGAGCATTCAAATCATCTCCTATTAAAGCAATGGAAATTGAAGCTTCAATTCCTCCTCCTGCTATTAGATTTGAAAAGGCCTGTATGAACTATGCTCTGAGAGTTGTAAAGATGAGCTCAAATCATATAATCAGAGAAAGAGTCTCTTCTTCATTTCCATCAATTAACTCTGGAAATGAACTGGATTGGAATAGATTTCTTGATTGGAATGAAAATAATTCTTCAAAGAAAATGCCTTCTCAACTGTACAGACTATGCTCTCTGATTAAAAATCAATTTTCTTCTTTAAATGTTGAAAAAGTTGATCATGAGAAGTTATCTCCCTGGAGAGAAAAGCTTGAATCTCTTATAGACTTACAAATAAGTGAACTATCAAAAGAGAAAGAATATGAACAGCATTTGAAGAGAATTTCTACAATCAATATAAAAGACTCTATTCTGGTTTATTCAGATGGCTCAAAAAATGAGAACTTGAATAGATTAGGTGCAGGCATTGCTTATACTGAAGATAATATTAATTTTATCTCAGATTTCTGGAATCTAGGCTCTGAATGTGAAGTCTTTGATGCTGAACTATTTGCAATAGTGAAAGCTTTCAAACTCATTGAAATAAAATCTCATAAAAGAGGAAATTGTTTGAAAGAGGCATGGATATTCTCTGATAGTCAAGCTGCTTTAAAAAGACTTAGAAATAGTCAGATTCATAATGGTCAAATGAATCTTGAACTGATCTTAAACTCTGTTTTGAAAATTCAAAAGAGAAGAACATCAAAGCTGATAATTCATCTACACTGGGTTCCTGCTCACATGAATATTCATGGTAATGAATTGGCTGATTCAGCTGCAAAAAAGGGTGCAGAATTAAGCAGATCTATTCAAAAAATTGTGTCCTGGTCTTTTATAAAGAGAAAAATAAAAGAATCTTGTTTAGACAAGTGGAATGAAAGCTGGCAGAAACAAAAGAAGAGTATACATTATTCAAGATTTGAAACAAAACCCAAGTGGAAATCTTGTTCAATTAAATGTAAAAAGAAAATATTCTCATCTATAATACAGCTGAAACTAGGACATGGCTATTTCAAATCTTATATACAAAGATTTGATGATAGATTTGACTCAATAGAATGCTCATTCTGTAATACAAATGAGAATCCTGAGTATATTGTAATGCACTGTGCATTATACAATAGTCTCAGAGCCAGATTGAAAGAGAAGTATGATCTAAATCAATTAAATATGAGATTCTTATTCTC